GGTTGAAACTTTCAACAGGGAAATACTTAGAAGGTCAATATAACCCATCCAAATCTCAGTTTGAAAGGACTTCAGGTATGTAAAGTATGAGATGTCTGTAGCTCTAGTGACTTACTGAGATATTTGCAACATTAGCCATGGAAAAATGACTTTGTCCAACATAAATAGCTGGAAGAACAAAATTCGAGGTGACCGCATACGAAAAAAGCAGTTGACAAGTAGCATTTCGTCACAGAGGAACAGGCTCTTTATCTCTAGCAGTAGCAGAGTACCTTATTTTTTATAGTAATGGCTTTTCTAGAATTTGGTCTTGGTAATAAAATTTACCATTTTTTGTTTCGTAGAGAACATGAACAGTATCTGACCTCATGTAAGCCTGTTTGTTCAGTAGCTTGCCTGGGCATTAAAATGCCTTCTTTTAATAAGGCCTGATCTTGAAAAGATTTGTACTTTTCAACACTTCTATTTACTGTAATTAGTAATGAAAATCATTTCACTTCAGTGAAACTTAGTTAAGAGGAAAACTTCCATAGGCTTAATAGAAATTTTTCCTTTTTGTGGATTTTTTCCAACAGAATTCAGTGTGTACATGAAATAAGTGCTTTAGAAGTTAACAAAAAGTTTTCTATAGAAATTATTCACCACACCAACAGAATTTATGAGAGTTTTATAACCCTTCCTTTTACTCTTTTATCTATTCCATTTGAATGTTCTTACAAGAGACAGAGCAGTATTTTCATTCCAGTGGTATGTATCAATATTACAAGGTTTCCCCAAAGAGACATATATATCATATATATACATATATCCCTATATGTGTAAATATTCATCAAAGAGACTGAACCACTTTCATTGCTCTTGCTCTAAGAGCCTCTGTATGACACATGACAGGTCTCTCTACAGCTGTGTTCCCTTGTGGGAGTTGTCTTCTTGGTGGGCAGTGATGGCTGCTGGATTTCAGCATGTATGGTCAGACCTTTGTTTTTCCAGCCTCTCTAACATTGGAGATGGTCTGCTAAGGCTGCAGAATTGCTAAGGCTGGGGCTGCTGGGAGGGAGAATCATGGGAGGGTGTCCCTTGGCCACAGCTCTGGGATTGTCTCACAGGAGCTATTGCTTGAGTACAGAAAGGAGTGGTAAGACAGGACCTAGACAAAGTGTGAAGAGATGCTGAGCAGGCCACAACTGCAGAGATCTGCAGACTTCCCAGCACCATCTATTCCCTTCCTTCCCATCCACCACAGTCCTCACTATCAGCATCTCATCTTTCAACACCTCTCAGTCTCCTGTGCTGGAGCTCTGAATGGTGCTGCCAAAACACCACTCCCTGGTTTCCAAACACTGTCACCCTCCCTGGGCACAACCATGCTTTCAGTGTAGGTAACAGCCTCTGCTGTTTTAATTCAGCTAAACAACTTCATTGCAGGCATGCAGAATCCTAATGCTCCTCTGTTAAATGTTCCTCAGCTGTGTACACAACAGAAACTGAATCATGGACTGGTTCTCCTCAGACATGGAAGAAAACTGATATACACAGGAAAGCCCCTGCTCTCTCTTTTCTTCCTCTTTACCTGGAGCTGAGTGCTCTCTGAGAGTTTCAGGCAAGGAAAGTTATTTTTCTCCTGTGCAGGTTTCTTCTGCCTCTCCATGTTAGACATGCACACTGTGTTAGTTTTATCTCTCTGAAGGGCTCTTTGGCACAGAAGTGCTGGACATTGAGGCATTGGTAACACAAACTTGAAGCCTGCACCTTTCTAGCCTAAAGCTTGCACCATAGAAGCTGTGATAATATTGAGTATATTTTTTTCATTTTAAAATAAAAAGTAGGAGTTTCTCCTTACAGGGAGTACAGGGAGGGGGAAAGAATAAGTTTAAGTGCCAGGTGACAATGTCCATCACACTGCTCAGTGATGAAGCTATGAAGACAAAAATAGACAAAGTGACCTCATGGCTTTCAGCAGCAAAGCCTACGAGACAAAAGAGAGGCTTTAAAAGGCTTGTGGGCTGATAGCAAAGAGCTTGGACATCTCAGAGTTTTGGTTCTGCTCCAGAAGAGCTTTGCTTGGCTCCTCTCTCCTTGCCTCTCTTTCTGTTTATGGGGAGTTGTGAATTAAATGGGTTTTGTGACATGCCCAGTTCTCCAGGTCTGGACTCTACTTTCTCAAGCTTGGATCAGCCTTATGCAGGTACAAATATTTTCTTTTTTCTCTTTCTTTTCTTTTCTTTTCTTTTCTTTTCTTTTCTTTTCTTTTCTTTTCTTTTCTTTTCTTTTCTTTTCCTCTTCTCTCTTCTGTTCTCTTCTCTTCTCTTCTCTTCTTTCTTCCTTCTTTCCTTTCCTTTACTTTTTTTACTCTACTCTCCTTACCCCATTCTTTTGCCTATTCTGATTTAATTCTTGCTCTTTACCTTCTACAAGTCATCTTAGGAAGATTTTTCTTCCTGTTTTTTTCTTAAACTGTTGTGGAAGATTGTAGCTTGAATAGCATGACCATTTTTCTGTTGGGAGAACTGGTGCAATTAGTCGTGTGCTTTAGCCTTTGATGAGGAGAAAGGTAGGAAGAAGAAAAGAGGGAGGTGAGAAGCAGGTCCCAGAGGGCCCTATTTGCCAGCTCCTTTAGAGCACAGGACAGTTCAGAGCAACTTTCTAGGGAAGTTGTATATGAACCCTAATTCATATACAACTGAGGTAGCACTACAGGCTGGTGGAGTTAAAGCCAAGACCATCTTCTGTTACATTTTCTCTGTCAGTATTTGCTAGCCCAGAGTTTAGAGCTGGCACTTCCATGGTAGTCTGCTGTCAGAAAGGGCTGTGCAGACGTCCCTTTGAATGGTGTTGCTCCCTGTCTGGTAGCTCCTGATGCTAGAAATCCTCCTGTGAGTCACTCAGGCCAGAGTTTACATATTCTGCACTTGACTAAGATTCTGTGTTGCTGCTCTTTCTCCTTGTAAATTTAGAAGCAAAATACCACCAGGTGAGGTACAGCTTTTAGTAAGGTTGTTGTAGCAGCTTCCCTTATTTTCTCCATTGTCAACAACCCTAGAGACACAGGCATGCAGATTTGTAAATGAAGTGGGCAGACCTTCAGGGACTGTAGTTTGTTTCTACCATGGAGAGCAGGTCTTTGAGGGCTAGTCTGTGACTGGTCTGAAGAACACTAAATCTACACAAAAATCTGACACTACTTCAGTCTTGGTTTAGCAAGGTGAAGTTATTCTGTAAGGAAGGTTTTGCAAAGAGCCTTCACTTTGTAAGTGCCAGTACAAATAATGAGCCTTTTCAGCATTGCTTTTCCTGTTTCTAGTTCTGGGTGCAAAGGAGAGGAATGGACTGTGCATCCACATGATGTGATCTCAAACCACAGAATTCTCCTTGCTGAAATCCCAAAGCAAAGCATGTGCTATGGACAGGCTGCAAACTTTGAGAGCTTCCTGGAAGGATGACTGCTTTGCAAATCAACACTTTATTTTCAGCATAGGGTGGGAAAGGGAATCTCTTTCTGCTGTGGTTACACCGATGCAGTACGGAATGATGACACCACAATTGTGTAGACTAGAAAGCTTTTGGGAGACTACAGCCCTCAGGCAAACTAGTAAACTTCTTAACTAAGGTCCCTGTCCCTCGCTTCAAGTGACTCTGCAACATTAACAGGTTCACATTGAATGAATGCTTTGTGATAAAATGATCAGAAGTGAGATCCTGAGAGGACTGAGCAGCTTCCATCATCTCTTGAGCTAACACCATCCCTCAGCACTGCCTTGCAGCTCTCCTCTCCTCTCCTCTCCTCTCCTCTCCTCTCCCTCTCCCTCTCCCTCTCCCTCTCCCTTCAGCACAGCAGAATTTATTACATCTCTCTTGGGAATGTCAGGGCTGGACAAGGTGGTTTTTTTGACAAATTATTCAATGCATACAGTGGACGGTTGTTTCATCCACTCTCATGTTGGGAAAAAGACAATGGAAAAGGGTGAAACAAAAGGCATCACAAATTAGTCTGTGGTTTAGGTATGTGGGGCTTTTTTTCTGTACAAGGCTAGTGCTGACTTCTGTCACTTCAACAGTGATTCAAGGCATGTCCATACTTTCATTAGGGTAGACAAGTCTGTTTTTACTATTGAATCTTGTTCACCACCTGCTTTTCCTGAACACAAAGACAGAGGATACAATGTTCCTCCCTGGGGCTTTACTGACCACAGAGCAGGTGGAAAATGATTATCCCACACTTTCATGCCAGTGTCCCAACAGGTGGTGTCTTTTCCAAGCAAGCCTGTCTAAGTGGATTTCCTTCTGGTCTAGCTGATCAGTTGTGGGGAACTGGGATTCTTACTCAGGAGCAAATACTCTTCTTTCTTGCCAGGCATGGAGCACAGGGAAGAGACTGCAGCAAGGATGAAATCATTCTTCCATTGTCTCCTGCTGTGGCAGGGCTGCTGCAGAGCAGCAAACAGCCCTACACACAATGCTGCTGCACAACACTGACTGTAGCTGGCAGTGCAGGGCTCAGATCAGGAGCAGCCCTGCTGTGCCTGCAGTGCACCTCTCCTTTTGCACACGTGCAATCCTCTATATGGTAGAAGGAACATCTACAGAAAGCAGGGCTCCACCTTTAGGGTGATAAATAAATGGTTAAAATTTCCACAAGCAAGGGTAAGCACTACAAAAACGTCAGGGTCTCTTGTTCACATGCTTCAGAAATAGGAAACTCCACGTCTGATGAGGAAACTTAGACTGGCCATCAGAGTGGGAGGAGTTCCCTCCCCACACCTGCATTGACTTCTATTGTGTTTGCAGGGAAAGAGAAAACTGCTCCTGATTTTCTACCAACAGTTTATAAAGACACAGTTTATAAAGACAGTTTATATAACCAGCAAAAGTGGAATGAAAAAGAAGAGCAAGGGATGTGTTTCCTCTTAAGTGCACTAGACCACCTATAGCCATTTCACTGTCCCCCTTTGCCCACCCAACCTTTTCTGATCTCTCAGAGTTCCTCTTTCTATCTCTTTCAGAGCTCCACCGCCACGAAAGCATCCAGGAGAAGAATGTGAAAGAAGCCAAAACCAAGTGCAGAACCATTGCATCCCTTCTGACAGATGCACCCAACCCCCACTCCAAGGGGGTGCTGATGTTTAAGAAACGCAGGCAGAGGGCTAAGAAGTATACATTGGTAAGCTTTGGCAGTGTTGATGAAGACCGCTCCTACGAGGAGGAAGACGGAGTTTTTCCAACTAGTGAATCTGAATTTGATGAAGAAGGTTTCTCTGATGCCCGAAGCCTAACTAATCACTCAGACTGGGACAACACTTACCTAGACATTGAAAAATCCAAATCTGACTCTGAACAGAAGGAAGAGAAGCAAAAAGGTTTGAGTGAGGCCTCAGGTAAAGGAGCACGATTATTTGAGCAGCAGAGGGAACGGGCTGGGAAGTACACAGTTGAGAAAAGTCCAGTGCAGAAGAGCCCAGAGCCTGCCCCAGCTGCCCAGCCAAAGCAGGGCACAGTGAACGGAGATATGCCTGTGCCAGAGAAGGCAGACAACATGCCCCTCAGCATCCACCTGGAAGCTGTGCAAGTGCCCAGCAAGCAGCCAGCCACTGTCCCCACTCAGCTCCTGACTGCCCCCAGCCCCACTTTCTTCCCTCCTCCCCCAAGCACCCCCGACCCCTTCTCTGCAAGTTCAACAAGCATGTTCAACAGGTCTGCACGGCCCTTTACTCCTGGCTTTTCTGGCCAGCGTCCAGCAACATCCTCTGTCATCTTTAGGCCACCTGCACCCAAAAAACCCACCGAAAATCTGGGTGGGCAAAGCACAGTGGTTCCCCCTTTCTCACCTCTGGTTCCAGGAACACCAGCCAATGCAGCAGTGCCAACACAGCGTGGTCCAGTCAGCTCCTCCACATCTCTGTATATTCCTGCACCAGGAAGATCAACATCACCACTGGAGTCACAGCCAAAAGTGGGAGGAAGCGCTTCCGAGGTCAAGCCTTCTGCCAACACTGCCCGGACATCTACCACCACCTCTATCTTTCTTTCAACTCCCTCAAAGCCAGGAGGGGATATGGCCTCCGCAGCATCCCAGCCACGGGTCCCTGGAACAGCCTCTTCTTCATTGTATATTAGTCCAGCACCATCACAGCACATGAGAAGCAGTTCCCCTCTGCCAAAACAGCCTTCTCCTGCCATCACTCCAGCAATGCCACGACCTCCTTCAGAGCCCTTAACCTCCAGGGAGCAGAGGATTTCTGTGCCAGCTCCCCGCACAGGCATCCTGCAGGAGGCTCGTCGACGGGGCAACAAAAAACCCATGTTCAGTAAGATTGAGGAGAAGAAGAAGAATTCACCCAACCCTGAGCTCCTGTCTCTGGTGCAGAACCTGGATGAGAAGCCAAAGGGTGACCACCCTGCGGCAGGCTTTGAGTCTGGGCCTGAGGAGGACTTCCTCAGCCTGGGTGCTGAGGCCTGCAACTTCATGCAGTCCTCAGGCCGCAAGTTCAAGACCCCACCTCCAGTGGCCCCCAAGCCTCAGCAAGATGCTGGATTGGTAAATGGGGCCCAGGACATGCCTCAGCTTAAAGGCAAGGGGGCAGAGCTCTTTGCCAAACGCCAGAGCCGCATGGACAAATTTGTGGTAGAAACAACACCGAAGCCAGAGTACAAGCCCAGGACCCCCTCTCCATCCCCTTCTCTACCCTCATGTTGGAAATACTCACCCAACATCCGGGCTCCCCCTCCCATAGCCTACAACCCAATGCATTCCCCTTTCTATCCCCTGGCAGCCAGCAAATCTCAGGCTAGCAAAGCAGAGAGCAAAGTGAAAAAGGCACCTGGCCAGAAATCAGGGATCAAGGTCATTGATTTAATGCGCCACCAGCCCTATCAATTGAAGTCAGCCATGTTCTGTTTTGGGGATCCCCCCAGCTCCAGCACTCAGAATACTCCTGGTCAGCCAACCCCACAGGCTAGCTCATCCTTCATGGCAGCCAAGCAGGTCCCTGTGAAAATAGCCAAGACCCAGGAGATTCGTCGATTCTCCACTCCGGCTCCCATGCCAGCCTCCAGCAGCCTGGCACCCACTGTGCTTGTGCCCCGCTCGGCCACCACGCTGGATGAGCCATTGTGGAGAACAGAAATGGCCTCTTCTGCCCCTGCTACACCAGCACCCTTCCAGGTGGAGCTCAGCCCCTCCCCTAAGCCATATCAGAGCTCCCCAGAGCCTGGACAGGTGGGACAGGGACCTCCTCCAAACTCAGCCTCTGCCTCTCGGTTTCAGGTGGCCAGGCCCAAATTCTCTGCAGCAAGAACAGGCATGCAGGCCAATGTGTGGAGGCCAAGTTTTGGCCATCACTGAGTCAGGCACCCCTCCCATCCTGTCTGTGGCCCCACAGAGATAGCGCTTGTTTTGTCTTTCATGTCAGCTCGGTACATTGGGATGAGTGACACAAAATGGAGGAAAAAAACCTGAAAAAAATTACTGCCCTTCTGCACCACCCCCTTCCCCAGCCTCCCCTTGGTCTCAGATGGGATGCTTCATGGAAAGGCTTACTGGCTGTGGCTACAGTAGGAGGAAGAATGTGGAGAGAGGGCATGTATGTGGTACACAAAGACTGGGAATTCGTACACAGCAGCAAAACCCAAGTCCAGAGGGGGTGAATGGCAGAAATTATCTCACATGGAGACATACATGAAGCAGTAGTTTTCCTTTCCCAAGGGCTTTGGAGTCACCCCTGCATGGAAGGAAAGTAGGAGGCAAGAGCTTTCCAGGAAGAAAGGATGAGAGGTGGGATTACAGAGCAGAAGCCCCAGCTTTCCCATGAGACTGTTTTGCTCTGATCCTCCCAGTCTGTTCATGTTCACTTGTGTGTGCACACACACATGCACACAGCAACACTCAGCAGGGAGTGAAAGGACAAGTGGGGCCTCACCTGGGATATTTCTCCCAGAATTCCCTCTGTGGGGGCATGGGAAAGAATGCAAGAGAGCAGAGTGAACAGTGGTGTTTGCCCATGAACATGTGGACAGTGTGGCCTGTGCCTGAGAGTGCCCATGTGTGCCTGTTCCTCCAGTCACCAGGGCTTGGGGTAAAAGGAGAATAATCCTAGCTGGTAGTAATTACCACTATCAGGTCTGGAAATAGTGTGCCAAAGAGGGGCTTTGAGGGGACTTGATGGGGCTATCACCAGCTGCAGGAACTGCAGAAGGAAGTATCCATTTTTGAAGATACACAAAGTCAAAGCTAAGCTCAGGCTGTGTCTGGTTGGCATAAAGGAAGGCCCTGCAGCATCAGTCCCACTGAACAGGATATGGATGCTGTAAGTAGAAAGGTGGATTGCATGGGAGGAGGTACAGTTGGCTTTAAAATGAGGCAGGACTGAATATGCATTTGTTCATGATCTTTTTATTTAGTTTAGGACAGAAGTGGGGCTAGATTAGAAATGGGTCATGACATAAAACTTGCTGAAAGCTTTGTGATGAGGGGAAAACAGAGGGCCTTTACAGATATTCTCAGCATGGAAGTGGAGGTCAGGAAAACATAAAGTCACAAGTAAAACTTCATACAAGATGACTTAGGTATTATTGTGGGGCCTATTTGGTAAAAACTGTAGTGCTCTGAGAATCCCAGAGGATCTGCACTCATACACACATACAGAGTTCAGTTTGCTGCTGATGCTGGGAAAACAGTACTGGTTATTCCTTGAATGTCCCAGGCTAGCCTCCAACTTAATCTCTACACTACAGGCATACAGGAAGAAAGCACTGCCTTCCCAAGGAAGAATTCAGCATTTCAGTAGGGACTGTGCATGTGTGTGTGCATGTCATCTATACTCTGGTTTACACACCCCCGGCCATTTACTTTCTGCCTGTGATCCTCCTTTGCCAGCAGCCACTTCTCCAGTGTGATCCCACAAGTACACCAAGAAAACATTGCTCCTGGAGCACTGGCTCCAAGCACAGCAGATGCCCCAGCTCCAGGGAAGGGGTTTGCCACCTCTTTCCGGGTCAGGGTTGCCCAGGTTTTTGCAAAACCCAGAGGAATGTGTACAGGAGGTGGAATGAGGGTCTCAAAGCCCTGTCTCCCTTGAGACAAGTCTCTCTCTCATTAGACTTGCACCTCTGCTTCAAGCAGCAGCCATTCTCTGATTGGACTGAGCACAAACTTCGGATATACAAAAGTGTAGGTTCTGGGGGGAGAAAAAAGGAAAATGCAAGTGGGTCTGAAACTATCTGTATGCAGTGCAGCTAGTGTTGTTTCATACTAAATCTAAGCCAACCTTCCTCTGCACAGCAAGAGCTTATGATGTGTAGCTTTTTCATGATAGCTGGGGCTCTACTTTTTCTTGGAGGCCTGAAAGTCTTTCTCTGTGAGCACCTGGAGATTTTTCATGTGTGCTCTCCTATGAAGAAAATGAAGACTGGAAAACCTAGCCAGCACCTCTGATCTCAGACAAGCTTGGAAGGGAGAGAATGAGAGAAAAGGAGAAGTAATTCACAATTCTGCCTTTGAATCCTTCACACTCTGGCTGGATTTTTTTGCACGCCTGTGTTTGCAGTGCACATTCCTAGTGGCCCTGAAACATATCATGAGCATGCTGGGAAGAGAGGAGAACAGAACTTACAACTTACTTGGCACACTATCAACTGTGGGAGAGGATTGTAAGAAAAGCCATGGGAATACTTTAGATTAATGGACAAAGGTGAGGCTGAGTCAGAAGGGATGCTGCATCTGGTTGCATCACATAGGAGTAGCCAACCTGAATTGATGAGGAGACTGTGTCCCTGAAAAGCCCCAGAGAGGATGTCTTAGGAGAAATCATCACTGCAGAGTTAATTCAGATCACCAGAATCCATTTAGCTCCAGTGAAAGGGAGCAGCCATGCTATAAAACAGATGATTGCTTTCTCACTCATCCTGTACTGCATTGCATTGCCAGTGTTTCTTAAAAAAAAGCTTAAAAAAATGATCAAAAACCAAAAAAAACAAAAAAAAAACCCAAAAAACAAACAAAAAAAACCCCCCAACCCCCCCCCCCCCCCAAAAAAAAAAAAAAAAACAACAAAACCAAAATCAAAAAACAAAAGACCTATGTGCAAACTGAACCTCTGTGACTCTTCCCAAACATGGAGGGAGGAATCTTATATTTTACCTAGGAAAGCTCTACAAAGGAACTCAAGAAGTAGCAGTGCTCCAAAAGCTTTGTCTCTCACCTTGTGGAGTGTTGTCTGTCCCTGGCTAGTGATTTAAGCCATTAGCCTTAGACAGACAAGCTAGCCCAGGCTGAAAGCATTACCAAACTCAGGTGTAGAAAGGGGTTGTGTGGACCAGAGGAAGGGTGCTCAACATAATTCTGCAGTCAAGAAATAACCTCAGAAAGTTTGAATCTTACTCCAGTATCCCTTTCCCTCAGGCCCCTAAAGTTAAGTGCTCTCAGGGCCTGAAAGTCTCAGGAAATTCATTTTGCCATGGGAAAAATAGAGAAGTCTGGCCTTAGTATGTAAGGGAGATTGCATGGGTTTAGTATTTTAGTGATCCCACTCCAGATTTCTGGGAGACAATGATTTCTGCTGAGGACTGATTGCCAAACACCATTCAAGGTTAGATACCATGATCCAAGTGAGTGGAATAAATGCATTTGCCCCATCATTTCTGATAAGTAATGGGCAGAAAATGAAAAATTTAGGTTTGACTTATATTAAATATAAGAGCAAGGAAAAGAACCAGGAGGCTGGAAATCCTGCATTTTACTTACATCCTTGCTTCAAAGCTATGTTTCGAAGCAAACTCAAAGTATTTTAATGGATTTCAGCCCCTCATAAACTTTTCTGGATCCTATGCTGACACAGGACTGATCTGCAGAAGCAGAGGCTGTTGCAGATGAGGCCTACAGTGCTCATAGTGTATCCCAAATAAAGCCTGTAGCTGCAAGTAGCATGAGATGAGAAATAATACTGGGATGCATCTGTTAAGTTTAAAAGAAGAAAACTGATCTACTGCTGGCTTTAAGCAGCTCTGCTAATGTTTGCTCATGAAAATACTGTGGCTGGACTGTTAGAAAGGTCACAGGTGAGGTTACAAGGAATACTTTTGAAACGTAAGCTTGTCTTGAGCCTTTCCAAATGTCTAATTCCTCAGCTGTTGAACAAGCACAGACATAAACAGTTGTTTGACAAGTTTTAGCTCCCACCTGCTAAGTTATACGCTGCAGTGGTAGGCCAAACCCCAGTGCTCCCTTGTTAAGTATTTGAAGATGTCTTCATGGGCTCTGATTAAAACTGCCTATCATCCCTCCTCTCTAGCATGCTGCAGGCTACACATTGCAGATATGGCAATTCAGGGGTTTTATCTTTGCTTCAGAAGTAACAGTCCCTTCCCTCTTAATATATGGGAACACTTACCAGAGATAACCTCAAGATCCTGCAGCACCTGGGAGGAAGCACCTCAGAAGAGACTGGTGTGATGAGGAGTCACTGACACCAGACATGAGCACAGTGTGAGGCAAGTTTGTTCCTCATAAAGAATATGCTCCCTTTCTGGTGTAACATCCAGCACACCTACTAAACCCTTTTCCTAGAAGAGACCCATCAGTGCTCTGAAAATGGGAGCCCAGCAGCAGTGCTCTGTCTGGTGAAAGATGTGACCCCAGATGAACAGAGTTGGCATCTTTGTTTATGAAACACCTTTTTTCCTTTTCTGTTTTGTCTTTTTTTTTTTTCCAATTTAAAATCACTTTCTATTTGTTTGTGCAGAGAAATAAACTTGTGATATGCACTTTACATGTGGCATTTTGTCACTTTCTTTGCTTGGCGCCCGGAGGAATTGCTATGTGTACAGCACATGTATTTAGCACTACCTACTACAAATTGCTAAGGACAAGAGAATATAAGAAGTTCAAAAAAGGATGGGATATCTCAGCAATAAAAACACCTAGGTTGGACTTAAAGCCTCTATACATTAAAAAAGCCCCACGCAAGCAAAACCTTAAGTGAGATCCAAAACTTTGATACTACAGACTATAAAACACTCACTCACTGACAGGTTGAAGACATTTGTGGACCAGCCTGAGCTGGCCTGCTCCATCACTGCCCCTCAGCCTGTTCTAACCTAAATCCTACCCTCTGCTTGTAAATCCAGTATCAGTGGAAGTTGATCAGCTCTGATAAATACAAATATAGACTTGCATTGAACAATTCAACTTAATATTAACCAAGATATCACAAAAACAAGTCAGTCAGAAAATCAAATATATCCCATCGTATTCTCTGGCTCCAAATTTAATTCTAACTCTAAACTTAACCAAATTCATGTTAAAGCCTATTCAGTTTCTGGGTCCTGAGAAGTTCATTGTGTTCAGTTTAGGACAAGTGTTAGCAGGTTTCCTTTCCCAGACATATCTCACTCACAGATAGCAATTCCTAAGCACTGCAAAATACTCTGGGATCAACTGTAGGATTAGATTGCAAGCTCTGGACATTTGTCCAAGTATAATTTTGTGGATGTTTGTCAGATTAATTGCAAGGAGGACTTCCTTTTGCAGTGGTCTGGAGGTAGGTTGTAGGACTATCCAGCATATTTCTGATTGACCTGCCATCAGAAAATGCAGAAAAGGGCAGCAATGTTTGCTGATGCCAAACCTAAGCTTCTGTCCAACCAGAGGCACAGCTCCCAGAAAACTGAGTGTACAGATGCACAGGCTGCAGATTAGGACTGCATCTTGTTTTGCTTAATAAATCTGACATAGTAGGATTATGAGCTGCTCCAGATGGTTTGACACATTGCAGGACGGCTGCTGTATCTAGGGCTCTTAATTAAATTCCCTGTTAACCTCTGCAACCTTCTCAAGTGAGAGTCATTTCCTCTCAGAGCAGATCATGTCAGAGGGAGCCAGACAAACAGGCTTTGAAAGGGGCAACGGGAGGCTGCCAAGCCAAAGGATTACTGAACAGCTATGCAGCAGCCCAGGGATTAACCTGGCCCTCAGTGCCCATCTTAGAGAGAAGTTTAAAACCAGAAAATAGCAAGGTGTCTAGCGGAGATGTCTACCCCCAAACAACCCCACCCGATGGAAGGAGAACGTGCAGCAGAGCACAGCAGGGAAGCACGTGGCATACAGGAAAGACAAGGCTATTTATCCCCGGACACTTCAGACCTATAGCTTCAACGGCCACTAGATGTTGCCGCTGCTCTGCTCTGAGTTACCTGGGCCTTTGGCATTCGCCTGATGTGGTGTTAAGTCTAGAGGGTTTAAAATCTTAGGAAGTCCTTTCTTCCTAATCTATCCTCTTTTGACGTTCACATATGGTGTTGCTCAGTCCCACATACCACAGGAGAAGGTCAGGCTCATACCACAGAGTTTTGGCAGCGAGGGGTTTGCTGCAGCTTGGAGGGGATTCCTGGGTCATGCAGACAAACAGGCTGCCCAGCAAGTAACACACCACGGGAACGGCAGCTATTTCCACACACACTCCAGCTCTGTGCTCAAATCCTACTGTTTCTGTCCCAGTCCTATGTCTTATCGTGCATTAAGCCCACTCAGTGGCACAAAAGAGCCTGGCATTCACTGTTTGTCCTATTTTGGTGCTACAGGTCTCTCTGATGTCTGTGTAAACTGGAACAGGTTAAGAACACATGAAATATTTCACACTAACAAAAATTATATTTATTTCATCATCCTCATCATCACCATAAAAATAACCAGGAAAAAAGCGCCAAATCAAGAGTTTTGCAACTTTTTTTTCAGAATAGGTTGAATCGTGTTGCAATCTGCTGTTTATGAATACTTTCAACAAAGATCAGTCCTGGGCATCAGGGAAAAAGAGCAAGGGCAAGGTTTAATTCTCCATCTTGGAAAAATTAAAGTGGTGAAGACTGATGCTGTTTTCCTGACTTCTACATGATCAAAATGTGCTCTGGACACAGCTCTGCTGCTGATGCTTCACTGAAGTACTGCTTGTGTCCATCTAGCAGTCCAATAAGGCAGATTTCATATGCTACTCTTTAAATAAGTTTGTAGGCATTGACAAGTTGATGTTAGACCATTTGAAATTAGGTGTGCAAGAATGTAGAGTGAATATAAATTAAATTTGAAGATACATGTCAGAGAAAGCAAAGCTTGGTTTAGGCTGTTCCTCAGGTCACTTAAACAAAAGGTATATTTGGGAAGAGAAAGGTGGTCACAGTGAGAAAAAGACAGTTTCTTGTATGATTATAAACTCTCTGAAGTGGTGAAAAGTCCTACAGGCAGCACATATACTACCCCACTGGCATTCATGGAAAATACATGTACTTAAGCAAGGATTGAATTTGGCCACCAAACCACACCACAGTCCAGGTAAACCCTTCCACCTTAAACAGAACTAAACCACCTCAAGCACAGCTTGTAGTGATTTAAAACCCTTAGCACTGACTAGTATGAATGGGTAAGACAACAGTAAGACAACAGATACCTTCTTCTGAGTTCACTGCATTGTTTTTAGTGGGGATAGAAGATTGGTACAATATTCCAGTGCAAAAAAGCCATTGACCTCCTGAACCTGGCACTGTGGCAGGACACAAGTGAAGTCTCTGCTAGACCCACAATTGACATTTATAGACTTGTGAACTAGACATTCCTATGTCTCAGGAGAAACTGTGCACAGAAAGGAGAAATGAGCAGGATTTAGATCTCAGTGTGGCAACTGAAAATAAAGACATATAATTTTATTTGAAGTAGAGTAGGAGGTGAGAATCTCAGTTTAAGGTGTGTCTTGGTGCTTAAGTGTCAGACACAAGAGTGCTTTATAGAAATCACCCTATAAATCCTGGTGCCATACTAACAGGTTCAGGGCTCAGGCTCCATTCAGTTCCTTCCAGATGCACTCTTAGGTCCCATTTCTCACCTGGTATATATATACTTCTCACATGAGACCTTGACTCGGCAAACAAATGTTTTTTTCCCATCAGACCATAGTTCCCATCACTCATTAAATCTGGACTTCAGCATCCTTGGCCTTGACCCTGACCCTGCTTGCCTCTTGCCCTTTGGGCTGGGGATCCACAGCACACTCTTGTCTCCTGGAGATGGCTCATCCTGAACTGTCAGTGCCTTGTTCCTGGTCCTAATTGCAGGGCATGCCTGCTCACAGTCTGATTGAGATCCCGACACACCATGCTAGACATGCCTTCTCTTCATCTTGCTATTGCTTTTCCCTAGTCTCTCTTGAGTTCTATAAGTGGGATCTCATCTATTTCCTGCTCACTTCAAATTACCATGGGGCACTCTGCTCCCTGCAGCATGCTCAGCTTCTCTCTCTGCAGCTGCCTGGGGTGGGAGGAAGCAGAGGGGCACCAGGTCATGTGACAGAGAAGAGCAATCACATACTTCCCTGCTACATCATCTTTTGGAGCTACACCATGCCTCAAAACCCATCAGGTTCCCACATGATATCCAGCTGGCACAAACTGTTCCCCTAAGGTGTAATTTGTGCTCAGGAAGGCCCAGGAGATGACTGGAGATATAAAACAACAGCCACAGAGTGGCCTGAAAACAGCTGCTGGAAGCAAGTATAGAGGAGGAAGAGTTTAGCATCAGCCTAGTTACTGCAAAAAGGTGCCATATAATGGTAGCTGCATTTCTCAACTTCTCACCTGATGATATAAATCACATTAATTTCTCAGATGATTATCAAAATGGAACTAGAAACTTCTTAAATTTAGATGTAACTCTACCTCACGCCTTTGGGAAGGAGAGGCAAAGGGCTCTGATTTGAAACAATAAAGCAGCACATTGTGTTTGCTCTCACTCTGTCCCCCCATATGCCAGCACCTTGTGGCAGGCAGTGTCTCCCTTGATAAATGATGAATGAGTGTTCAGAGCACAGGAATTTGAATAGGAGAGCAGCATCTCACGGAGCACAACTGGACATTACAGCAGACACTGGGCACTCTGGCCAAAAGTCAAGCACGGTGCTAAACCAATCCAGAACTAACAGGGTGAGAAAAACACTCCTCCTTGTACAATCTGCAGTGAGCAGGGCTTGGCAGCACCAAGAGACCCACTCCTCTAGGGCCACCTGCACTTGTGCAGAGTGGGTGTGATGTGTGGACAGATGGTCAGCTGTGACAGGAGCATTTGACACCCTCCAGCTTTGTGCAGATGTAAATGCCTTCACCAGGCATGAAGCTCTGTGATGGTGCCCAGAGCAGGCAGTGGGTGTTTACAGTTTAATTGTGCTTATTTTACTCTGGAACTGCTCCAGGGATTTGTTCCTGAATCACTGGCATGGGAGTGTGAGGGCAGGATCTAGGCTGGACATCACTCTGGTGTCTCATCCCAGCTCAGTGAAGGATGCAGCGCTCTTGTGGGCAGTGGAAACTGTACATCATGCTGTTACAGAAGATATAAATGAGGGAGAATCAGAGCTGTGAAATAGGCACAATGCAAGGTATACATCGTGGTTATATGGATGCAAGCAAGAGGAAAATGGGAAACTTTAGGCCAGGAGAATGCCATATGTGCCCTAATTCCAAGCAGGATATAAAAGCTGTTTTCCTATTGCCCATAGGAAATACAGGAATGTTACAGCAGGCTTCTACAGAACCTTCTTAACAGTACTGGGGATTAACACGTAGTGCTTTCAACTCACTTATCACGCTGCAAAGTTTGATATGCATTTGGAGCAGGAAAAACCAACAGCAAAGTGTAGGGAAAAAGGAAAGTGGCTGTCTCCTGATGTTCCTTTATATCAACTTTGCTTGCAATTCTCTGTGCAAATTATTTTCTACTATAATCACAACT